TTAGTCACTTTATTACTTGACGACCGCGTATACTTGCGTGAGTGTGTTTGGTCGCAACACCATGCTATCTTGCATGCAACATCACTTATCCTTCTCAGATCGACATATTATAATAAATATTCTCCGTCATAATTAGTTTTTGGTCATGAACTAAATATTGCATATCTACGAATTTTTGGATGTGCTGCATATGTGCCAGTAGCACCACCACAACGCAGTAAGATGGGCCCGCAGAGAAGATTAGGAATATATGTTGGGTTTGAATCACCCTCTATTATTCGCTATCTTGAACCATTGACAGGAGATTTATTTACTGCTCGATTTGCAGATTGTCGGTTTGATGAAACAAATTTTCCACAATTAGGGGGAGAAAAAAAGGAAATCAAAAGAGAAATTGTGTGAAAAGTTTTATCATTATCCAGTTTTGATCCACATACCCCTATATGTAATCAGGAGGTCCAGAAGATCAATCATTTATAAAAATATAGCAAATCAAATGTCAGGCGCGTTTACATATTTGAAAAGGATAACTAAGTCATATATCTCTGTAGAGAATATGCCTATCCGAATTGATGTCCCAACATGACCATTTACTAGCATGAGAGCTAGTGAACCTAAAGCACGCCTGAAGCTTGGTAGACCTTTGGATTCTAAGGATCGAAATCCTCGAAAAAGAAAAACAACAAATGATCAAAACGATACTATGAAGGGATCCCCTGAAGAGACCCAAGATCTGATTAGTTTTGAGATTCCTGAAGAAATCAATTAACCGAGACTCAAGTGAGTGTGAAGGTTTTAATAAGTTCTATAGGTGAAGGGATTAATTTAAATCAATCTGAAATAGTGGTGGATAGTATTTTTGCATACAATGTTGCACTTAACATTATGCAAGATAGTGAGGATCTCGAACCCCGATCTATCGAAGAATGTCGACAAAGATCTGATTGGCTAAAATGGCAAGAGGCAATTCAATCAGAATTGAACGCACTTGCTAAAAGAGAGGTCTTTGGACCAGTAGTCCAAACACTTGCTGATATAAAACCAGTTGGTCATAAATGGGTTTTTGTGCGAAAAAGGAATGATAAAAATAAAATTGAAAGATACAAAGCTCGCATTGTCGCACAAGGATTCTCACAACAACCTGAAGTCGATTTTGATGAAACATATTCACCTATTATGGATGCCATAATATTTCGATATCTAATCAATTTAGTACTACATGAAAAGCTTGAAATACATCTAATGAATGTAGTTACAGCTTATCTGTACGGTTCACTTGATAATGAAATTTATATAAAAATCCCTGAAGGACTTAAAATACCTGAAGCAAATCTAAAATCTCGAAAAATATATTCAATCAGATTACAAAGATCTTTGTATGGTTTAAAGCAATCTGAGCGTATGTGGTATAATCGTTTCAGTGAATATTTGCTTAAAGAATGTTACATAAATGATATTATTTGTCCATATATTTTTATAAAGAAAATGGCATGAGAATTTGTTATACTTGTTGTTTATGCTGATAACATAAATCTTGTTGGAACTCCAAAAGACAATTGAATATCTTAAGAAAAAATTTGAGATGAAAGATCTTGGAAAGACAAAACTTTGTCTTGGTCTGCAAATTGAATATTTAGCAGACGGAAATTTTATCCATCAATCTGTCTATACATAAAGGGTCTTAAAAAAAGCCTTTACATGGACAAAGCGTACCCATTGAGTACACCAATGGTTGTTCGATTACTTGAAGTGAATAAGGATTTATTCCGACCTCCATAAGAGGATGAGGATCTCCTTGGTCCCAAAATACCTTGTCTTAGTGCAATTTGTGCACTTATGTATCTTGCTAATGCTACAAGGCTTGACATAGCATTCTCTGTTAATTTACTAGCAAGATATAGTTCTTCTCCTACATAAAGACATTGGAACGAGATTAAGCATATATTGCGATATTTAAAGGGAATACTTGATATGGGTTTGTTTTATTCTAACAAAGGTAGTGCAAATCTCGTTGGTTATGCAGATGCAGGTTATTTATCTGATCCACATAAAGCTCGATCTCAAATCGGGTACGTGTTTACATGTGGAGGTACTGTCATATCATGGCGCTCCACAAAGCAATCTATTGTTGCTACGTCTTCAAATCATGTTGAGCTAATAGCTATTCATGAAGCAAGTAGGGAATGCGTGTGGTTGAGATTAGTGATTCATTTTATTCAAGAAAAATGTAGTTTGGAATGTGATAAAAAGATCCATAATTTTATACAAAGACAATGCTGCATGCATAGCCCAATTAAAGGGAGGTTTTATAAAAGGAGATAGAACGAAGCACATTTCCCCAAAATTATTCTACACACATGATCTTCAGAAAAATAGTGACATTGATGTGCAACAAATCCGTTCAAGTGACAATCCGACAGATTTATTCACTAAATCTTTGCCAACTTTAACTTCTGAGAAGATGGTATACAAGATTGGAATGCGGAGACTCGAATATTTGAAATAAGGTTTTTATTAGGGGGAGTAAAATACGCACTATACTATTTTTTCCTTACTAAGGTTTTTCCCATGAGGTTTTCCTTATAAGGTTTTTGATGAGACAACTAGTTATGCGTATTACTAAATATGTGTATTCTTTTTCCTTCACTAAGATTTTTTTCCCACAGGGGTTTTCCTAATAAGGTTTTAATGAGGCACATTGTCTTTTATTGAACATCCAAGGGGGAGTGTTATAAATATATTATATTATGGATGTTCATTTAGTACTTAGTTGAAAATAAGCTTCTTGAAGAAGCTTATCTATGTGAGACTTTGCCGTAAATATATTTATCTATTTAGTGCTCTATTGAAAATAAGTCTCTTGAAAAAACTTATCCTTTCAGTACCTCGTTATGGATAAATATCACACCCGGTAGAAGATTATCTATATCTGGTACAATGAGCTTATCCTTTCAGTACCCCATCATGGATAAACATCACACCCGGTAGAAGATTATATATATATGGTACAATGAACTTATCCTTTCGGTACTCCGTTATGGATAAACATTACCCCGGTAGAAGATTACCTATATCTGGTACAATAACAGCTTACACAACATCTTGCAAAAATAGCTTACATAATAACTTCCTTTTTTCTATAAATAGAGGAGATTTCAGTTCATTATGTACATAAATTTGAAGTTTGAATAATATACTAGCTTCTCTCTATACTTGTCTTTACTTTACAGTCTTTATTTTATAACACATGATTACTTCTTTTTTACTTCTTCAGTCAAAGTCAAGTATTTCTTATTATTAGGAGTTTAAAAAAAAACGCAAAAANATATAATTTTTTAGAGCGACTAAAAATATAATTTTACAAAAGATTTACTTTTATATAATCCTTTAGAATGACCATGGACTATGAACTCTAAGAACTTATTTGGGTAGAGTGTTAATGTTAAGATATCTCTAATCCTAAATTTTACTCTTTTTTGTGTTAAAGGCGAGTTCATTTATTATCTTGCTCAAAAAGTGTTTAATTTATTTCGGTTTAATGCTTATAAATGTTTGAAGCTAGTGTATAAAAGTAAGTGGATAGACATTAGTGCAAAACACATGTTAATTGTCCATAAATAATGACAAAAGCATAATCTATATCTATATTATATTAAAAGCACGAAAGCCTTTAGCGAAATATCGTTAGCCTTTTTAACCCTTTAAAAATAAAACTAACACTGGATAAAATAGTCATTTGATTATTTTTTTTAATATTTAAAAATAGTCATTTAATTAATTCCCTAACATTTAGGAGTTTGTATAATAAACTTTTTTCTTATTTGAATTGTATTAAATATTCTGACATTTAAAACTTTAAAATCATTAATATTTTACTTTATATAAATTTTACACTTAAATTATATATAAATAATAAATAAAATAAATAAAGGATAGAATAAAAACATTAAAGAAAGAGGAAGTACGTTTGGCTTTGGATAATATGGAAGTTTCTTTAAATTTCTTTAAAACTTGTTTACGTTCTAATTTCTTTGAAACTCTTCTATATTAGAATACTTACAATATATAGAAGACTAATCCACTAATAATAGTATTCTATATTATATTAGTTTTCAAAGTTTTTAAATTAGTTATTACAATTATTTGGAATATTGAACATAAATTAATAACAAACTCCAAAAGTATCAATTATTTCAACAAAATAATTTATGAGATCTTTTAATTTCTCTAGATAGTATTAAATTTAGCTGAATATAATCGAGTTTCTTGACTATAATTATGTCTTTTAAAAGGATATTTTAATTGTAGATTTTATTTATGGTATAAAGTGATTCTTAAATTTTTGAGATTTACAATGAATTATCATTTCTTTTTTCCGTGGATGATTTTTTACCTAATCGACTTTTTACTATTTGAAAAAAAATTGTTATCAAATAAAAATATAATTGCAATTAAATACTTAAAATTTGGTATGAACTAGCTAATTAGTATTATTTAAATACTAATCTCACTTGAAAAATGATACTTCCAAACTAAATATACATTTCCCATTCTAACTTCAGTCATTCTTTGAAATGCATTTTAAGTTGAATTATTTGACTGATGATTGAGTATTTCCGTGGAGCAATTTTATTTTTTATTAGTTATATACGACCAACATTCATTATTTTCAAGAACTTATATTTTTATTTTATATCTCAAAGAAAAATTTTAAATAAATTTTTTATTGAGTTAGGTACACACGCAAAGCGTGTACACTAAGACTAACAAGAAAAGAAAAACACATTTCATGTTTTTAATAATTGAAATGAAACTCGATAATTGAAATCTAATTATTATTGATTCAAAAGGTTAAAATAAGTGAATTTTACTTTGCTTTATTGCCGAGTGTCGGGTCGGGTCACTGCGAAAGCACCCATTTTGGTCATTTCAAATTCAAATTATCTTTCATTTTAGACCCCCCAAATTTCACCATTTTTGGTATCCCAATTTCTGTCTGTCTCGTGGCGCTACTATCGAATTCTGAACAAAATGGTAAGCTCATTTTCTCTATCAATTCTAATTTTCAGGTTTTCTACATGTAATGAAGTAATCCAAAAAAAAATGTTACCTTTTTGCACCTTTTCTGCTTTCAGATTTAGGCATTATATTGACTCCGTTTCTGTTTGCGTTGTGATTTATTTTGTAATCGGACTGAATATTATTAACGGAATTGCTGCAGTTGTTTCGGAGATTTGATTCAATCGAGCTGAAATTTTAGCAATTACGAAGATTAAAATTTTAACCCGTAAAACTTCCTCTTTTCATTAAAAATGTCATTTTTTTGTTGTATTTTGTTTTCTTTAGCTAAAGGAGGACTGGAGTTGAAGCAAATTTGTGATTATTGATTTGAGTGAGCACAATAAATTAACCAACAAAAACAATTAGGGCTCCCAAAGTTGAGACTGGTTACGCGAATTGTTTATATCCATATTGTTCTATTTGCAATATTTTCAATTATAAGACAAATTAGAGGCTCTTTCGAGGTGCTCTAGATTTTGCACTTAATAATACTGATCACTGAAGCACAAATCTCTAGAGTTCTCAAGGTACTCGAACCCGAGAACTCTAGTTAAGGGTGAAGGGATAATATCCATCCCACCACAACCATTGGTGGTTAGCGGAGGCGGATCTAGGAAATAACTCGATGCGTTCAACCTTTAAGGTGTTTAGCGTTGAGCTCATTTGTTTTTATAAAATTATGGGTTCGGAACTGCTATTTGTTGCAAAAATTAGATACTCCCTCCGTTCACTTTTACTTGACATGTATACTAAAAATAGATTTTCATTTTTACTTGTCACTTTAATATCAAGAGAATGACAATTTTTTTTTTCCTGTTATACCCACCGTATTTATTACTCACTTCAAATCATTTTCTCAAATCCAATAAAGTATGCATCAATTAATATGGGTATCATGGTAAATTATGCACTTCATTTATTATTTCTTAATGGGCGTGAAAAGTCAAAACGTGCCAGGTAAAAGTGAACGGAGGGAGTAATTTTTACTCATAAGTTTATGCTCCGCGCCTAAAGTACTGGGTTCAGATGAGCCGTTTGCTGCATCTGCCTCTGAAGTTAGTAGACTCTATATTTTGTTTTTATAAATGAAAAATTTCTACCACTTCTGTATAATGTATGAATTAGGGGTATAGATTGCTGTTAGAAGTGTGTGAAAAGGGTTACTGAGGTGCATTCTGCATCACCTTGTTCTTAATGAAGTCAGAAATATGGTACTTGCATTCATTTTGGGAACCTGCATACATTGCAGCTTTCTTGTCATGTGTTGGTTGTCCCGAGGCTACCATGTACTCTGTTACTGTGTATATCTTTGCTTAGCATTCTTTTTTAGTTGATGGTTATAATTTCAATAACAATCCCACGTTTTGAATACTTGGGAAAGGATTATTGTCGCGAACTCTGTGAGATACTTTATTTTTTATATCCAATCAGTTGCCTTGATGAATTAAACTTAGCAATTCAAGATAAATATATTTGTTCAATGCTGTTTAGGGCATTTAGTTTAATAGAGTTGATACCCTAAACATGTTTGGAAAAGTTGCCAGTGACGTTGTAAAGCACAATGTGTTCTAATTCTGAGATCTCTTATGAAACTTTCCTAGTACTACTATTGCCAACAATATCATCTTTCATCGTGGGAACTTTAATTCAGACTCTTAAGTGAATCAGTTTTCATGTTAATCCTTGACTTTGCAGTGTACCTTGTTAGCATATGTTTGCGTGTGGGATGGGGGAGGGCAGTTATGGATTATTCAATTCTAATATTTCCAAATCTTTTTCNAAAAAAAAAAAAGATTAGAGAATGAGCTCTCAATCAGTAGTATGTTTTATTCAAATGCATGTTCTTCTGTGTCTGAGCTGCCGTATTGGCACTCTTCTAAAAGTAACTATCACAATTTTCTGGCAGGATGGGCATGATGGAGATAATTCAAAGCAAAGCACTGCTGATATGACTGTGTTTGTAAGTTTTCTGGCAAAGACAACTCTAATTTCTTTAATTGATTAGCTTAAGGCTCACTCTCCTGCGCTTAGCTTGCTAACAATCTCTAAAATTTCTAATCATCTCAATCTGTTCACCACACTGAGTTATCAAGCGTGATTACTTTGGAATTTGGAGTCAAAAGTTACTTTCTTTTTCATAATCAAATTAAAATTCTAACATACAACCTTGGCCCTTTAAAGAGTTAGCTTTATTCATAAATATGGCTTTATCATGATGCTAATACCATGACATTTGGATCAATGTTGTGCACTTGACATATAAGTATAACATATTTGGTATCGCTGTCCCTTTTTTTGGTCTCTGATAGCTTTCACTAGCACATCATTTGACAGAAACGAGAACATGCATTTATGCTATCTAACTCTTACTACCGCCCTTCCTTCTCTTCCAGGTCCAGAATCTTCTTCAGCAAATGGTGAGTCCGGTCACTCTGCAACCCCTTGGATTCTTCACATGTATGAATTAGAGTTATCTAACTGATATTTTCTCTTTGCAGCAAACCAGATTTCAGACAATGTCTGAATCAATCATCTCGAAAAATATCCTTTTCAAATTTGATGTTCCCTATCTGATCCAGTTGTTGCTTACATTAGTGTCATCTAAAATGCATTTAGTTATGTATAGCATTACATAGAACTGTGAATTCAAGAATGTGTTAACTGCCTTCTTGGTTCTTAGGCTCTTGAGTGGCTCATGGTTTCCAGCTCGCTGTCTTTCAACTTTTTAGGTCGGTAGGGGTTCTGGTAATCCGTCAACATAATCTAACCTTCTTTAGTCTCTTAGAAAAATTTAAAAGGGGTTTCATTACTGTCATCAACTACAATTTTTTAGTCTGTCGCTCTTGCTTCCAATCCTCTTTCATACTGGTGAGAGTTCTCATATTGGATGGTTTGCATATCAAACTGTTCCAAATACGTCTTTATATTGTACAGGGCATCTACCTCTCTTTTATAGTTTTATTAGATCAAGCTTGAACAAAGTACGTTTAGTCCTTGACAAGGCTGCACTTGACGAGATGGGAAACCGGATTGATGAACTTGAACAAAGCATCAACGATTTGAGAGCTGAAATGGGTCAAGATGGTGCTCCATCGCCTTCAGCGTCTTTGAAACCAAGAGAGGAACCCAAGACACCGGATGATAGTGCATAAGCAAGTGATGATACTTCACGTTTGTTTTGGAGCCAGTTGGCTATGTTTGTTACAATTGTTTAGCTTTGAAGGTCTTGTCTCATTTTGTCTACTATGACATTTGGTTTGTAATGTGATACATATAGTGTGTACATGGCTTCTTGGGTTGAAAGATATTGACTTGTGTTGGTCATTGTTGAGGTTATCGAAATATGCTATTACCATTGGATTCATTTTAGACAGTATAATTTATACATTTTCGTCAACTAGTTATTTGTTGAGAGGTGCTAAATTTGAATATCTACACATTTTCTCTTTTTTCTACTTGCTTTTGTATAATCCTTCTTTGTATCTTCTTTTAGATTTCGGACCAAATATATCCAGTACTTGAAAGATTGTTTACACCGTCAAATCTTTCTACAATTGCTTTGGTTGTCCTGATATTTTTTTGGTTTTTATAGCGATTGGCTGTTATAACTTTTTTGATATTCAAATGTTATTTGACTGTTATAGTTAAAATTATCCAATAAATCACTTTTTTGTTTTTTTTAATGTTATAAAATATAAAAAAATAATATATGTGCAGATCTTTCAAGGGAATGAAATATTTTAATTAGAGGAGCAAGGCATGCTTAGAAGGGCATAGAAATCATATCGAATTGTTAATAAGTATTTGTATAATCTCTATTTCTAGTGTAAAAGCAGTCCCTTAGTTTAAGGAAATTTTCAGATTCATTTTATGACTAGAAAAGTTTCAGCAATTTGATTTGGAAGAAGGCAGAATGTTGAATAATGCAAGTTTTGTTCTCATTATTATGATTTTTTGTGATTTGAAGTACTTAGCATTTAACATGTATACAAAATGATGCTCCAGTTTATTCGGTGAAACTAGTTGTATACGGTCGAAATAGATTTCGGCCTTAGCACGTCCGATCGAGTTCGAACGATGATCTATCGAAGTAAGATCCCGAAGGTGGAACAAACTAACCTCGAACCCGGGGAGGCCGATTCGTGTCGAGGTCGATATAATTATCAAGCTCGAATCTAAATCGAACCATGATGCAGAGTAGATCTATCATGCTGATAATCCAAAGACCAACCAACATTGACCTCGAATCAATTCGAGGGCTCGAGCCAGGATCTGGCTCGAACCAAGATCAAGAGCTCGAGTCGAAATCAAGCTCAAACCAAAATCGAGGGTTCTAAGCAAGATCGAGCTCACAGACAAAAGCCGTTGCAATCCCACTAGAGAGAATCTTGGCAGAAATGGTGAAAAGCTGACTTACTATGGGTCTCCCACTGAATGTTTATTTTATTATGCTTAGAGCCAAATCCCTCTACTATAAAAGGGCTTGGTTATCATTTCTGTAAAATAAGTTTTTTCTTNAGGCGAATTAGCGTTCCGAACCGGAAAGAAGCATTCAGGGCGGTACTCGATCCGTAGCCCGAGATACCTAAAATGCGGAAAAAATCGGGGCCAGCTTACGTATGATCTTCGGGATGCTACAAGTCCAACAAGTAGCGATAGCTCAGCTACAGACCCAAACTCGCGCACAAAGCAGGCCGGATTCCAATCCACTTCGAGAAGTCACCCTCAGAACAGAGACTGCCATAGTGAAATCTAACGAGCAAGAATCGGGCACTACTCCCGGAATTACTAAATTGCTCGAGGAACTCACAAAACGAGTCGAAGCCAACGACAAGAGGGTGGAAACGTACAATGCCAGGGTCGATCAAATCCCGGGGGCTCCACCAATGATAAAAGGGGTTTCATTGTAAAAAAATCATACAAAAGCCTTTTCCATCGAGTGCAGCGCCGAAGCCAATCCCCAAAAAATTTTGTATGCCGGGAAATCCCAAATATAATGGTACGACCGATCCTAACGAACATGTCACCTCTTACACATGTGCCATAAAAGGCAACGATTTGGAGGACGATGGGATCGAATCCGTGTTGTTGAAAAAGTTCGGGGAGACCCTCTTGAAGGGAGCGATGATTTGGTATCACAATTTACCAGCGAATTCCATCGATTCTTTTGCCATGTTAACAGATTCGTTCGTAAAGGCACATGCTGGTGCCATAAAGGTTGCAACAAGGAAATCAGACCTCTTTAAAGTAAAGCAAAGGGAGAATGAAATGCTAAGGGAATTCGTATCCCAATTTCAAATGGAACACATGGAATTACCACCGGTCACAGACGATTGGGCCGTACAAGCTTTCACCCAAGGGTTGAACGAGCTAAGCTCGACAGCATCACATCGGCTGAAATAAAATTTGATCGAGTATCCAGCGATAACTTGTGCAGATGTACACAACCGATACCAATCAAAAATTAGGGTCGAGGATGATCAGTTGGGAGCTCCGTACGGACCCGTGCATCAGAACAGGACAGTTACTAAAAACCAAAAGAAGATCGACAGAGAACAAAGGTCAAACAGAGACCGATATCGACCGTACGTCGCAGGTCGGGTAAATAACGGTTCAACACGTAATGCAGTTCGGAACAATCGAAGGATTGATCGAGGGCAAAATTCTCGGGGACTTATGAGTAAGAGCGGCTTCGATAAATATGCCGATCCTATAGAAGCACCTCGATTATCAGAATATAACTTCAGCGTTGGTGCATCCGCTATCGTGTCGGCCATCGGACGCATCAAAGACACTAAATGGCCTCGACCCATGCAGACCGATCCTGCCCGAAGAAATCCCAATCAAACGTGCGAATATCATGGTACCCATGGCTACATAATGGAAGATTGCAAGCAACTAAGAGAGGAAATAGCACACTTATTTAACAAAGGGCACCTTCGGGAATTTCTGAGTGATGGGGCGAAGGACCATTTAAAAAACAGAGATTTCAGCAAGCAAAACGAGCAAGAAGAACCGCAGCACGTTATCTACATGATCATCGGCGGCATCGATACCCCTCAGGGACCAGTGCTTAAACGTACTAAAACATAGATTGTAAGGGGAAAACGATCTCAGACTCAAGATTACGTACCCACGAGGACTTTGTCCTTTGATGATGAAGATGCAGAATGGGTCATCCAACCTCATAACAATGCACTGGTAATATCCGTACTCATGAATAAAACTAAAATTAAGCGTGTGTTAATCGATTCAGATAGCTCAACCAACATCATCCGATTGAAGGTGGTAGAGTAGCTCGGCCTACAGGATCAGATTGTACTAGCAACTCTGGTTCTAAACGGGTTCAATATGGCATGTGAAACCACCAAAGGCGAGATAATCTTACCACTAAACGTGGCCGGAACCATCCAGGAAATAAAGTTTCACGTGATCGAAGGCGATATGAGATACAACGCCCTTTTCGGAAGACCATGGATCCACAACATGAGAGCTGTACCTTCGAACCTACACCAGGCCCTCAAATTCCCGACATCAAGAGGTGTCAAAATAATGTATGGTGAACAACCAGCCGTGAAGGAAATGTTCGCCGTCGAGGGNTATAACAGGGATCCCGCCGGACATAACGACGCATCGGCTAAGTTTGGACCCCAGGTTTAGACCGGTGAAGCAAAAGAGAAGACCCCCGCCCGAAGGAAAGCACACATTCATAAAGGACTAGGTAACCAAGCTTCTCAAAGCAGGGTCCATTCAGGCGGTAAAATATCTCGAATGGTTAGCCAACGTAGTTGTAGTCCCTAAAAAAGGGAACAAACTTATAATGTGTGTGGACTATAAGGATTTAAACAAAGCATGCCCCAAAGATTCCTTCCGCTGCCCAACATCGATCGCATGATCGATGCCACGGCCAACCACGAGATCCTCACTTTTCTCGATGCCTATTCCGGGTATAATCAAATCCGGATGAACCCGGAGGACTAGGAAAAAACTTCATTTGTGACTAAATATGGAACGTATTGTTATAATGTGATGCCCTTCGGGCTAAAGAATGCAGGGGCTACTTACCAATGCCTAGTAAATAAAATATTCGAAGAACAAATAGGAAAATCAGTGAAAGTTTATATTGATGACATGCTAGTTAAATCCCTGCGCGCAGAGGACCATTTGACCTATTTGCAGGAAACGTTCAAAATTTTGAGGAAATACAACATGAAGCTCAACCCCGAAAAATGTGCTTTCGGGGTCGGTTCGGGCAAGTTCCTCGGCTTCATGGTGTCAAATCGGGGAATCGAGATTAACCCCGATAAAATCAAGGCCATCGAAGACATCACCATTGTGGACATCGTGAAAGTTGTACAAAGGCTAACGGGACGGATTGCAGCCTTAGGCCGATTCATTTCGAGATCATCAAATCGAAGTCACAAATTTTTCTCTTTACTAATAAAGAAAACCGATTTCGCTTGGACCCCCGAGTGCCAACAAGCATTAGAGGAACTAAAGCGATATCTATCAAGCCCACCACTACTTCACACTCCAAAAACAGACGAAAAACTTTGTTTGTACCTGGCAGTATCGGAAGTCGCCGTAAGCGGTGTCCTAGTTCGAGAAGGGCAAGGTACGCAATTCCCCGTTTATTATATAAGTCGAACCTTAGGAGAAGCGGAAATTAGATATCCGCTCCTAGAAAAATTGGCACTTGCACTGATAAGCGCCTCTAGGAAGTTAAGGCCGTACATTCAATGTCATCTTATATGTATGTTAACCACTTTCCCGCTTCATAATATTTTGCACAAACCCGAGTTATCAGGCCGACTGGCCAAATGAGCCGTCGAACTCAGTGGGTACGATATCGAATATCAACCCCATACGGCCATCAAGTCTCAAATTTTAGCAGACTTCGTGGCCGATTTCACGCCAACCCTCATACCCAAAGTCGAAAAAGAACTTTTGTTGAAATCAGGTACATCATTGGGGGTATGGATCCTTTTTACGGATGGGGCTTCGAACGTGAAAGGGTCCAAGCTTGGCATAGTTTTGAAACCACCCATGGGTAACACTATTAGGCAATCTATTAAAACTATCAGGTTGACTAACAACGAGGCCGAGTATGAAGCCATGATTGCAGGTCTCGAGCTAGCTAGAAACTTGGGAGCAGAAGTCATTGAAGCCAATTGCGACTCCTTGCTGGTGGTGAGTTAAGTAAACAAAACCTTCAAAGTTCGAGAAGGTAGAATGCAAAGGTATTTAGATAATCTGCTTGTCACTTTGCACTGTTTCAAACAATGGACTTTACGACATGTACCATGGGAACTGAATAATGAGGTCGATGCGCTTGTGAATTTGGGGTCGTCGGTCGAGGTAGATGACTCGGGCTTGGGGAATGTTGTTCAACTTTCGAGA